TGGGGTTATTATAGTTAAAACTAAGACCATAAAAAACATTCCATTACTTGAAATAGAATATACGTTAATATAAATTATAAACATTTCCAAGTTAACATTTTTTATTTTCATTTAGTTTAACTTGATGTACTAAAATGATTAAAACTACAACTGAAATGACAAACTGCAGAAAATATAAACTAATACCATAAACAGGGTTCGTACACATTTTTACCAATACATTTCCATGACTTTTGAGACAATATTCATGACCTAAATGTTCCATTATTTTACAATAAGAATAAAAATCTGTTCAAATTATCATAGCATATGTTAACTAAAATGAATGACTATTCATGCTACTCATTTGCTTTCTTGTTTTAGTAATAAGTACAAGCTGCAACTGCGCCAGACCTTACTCCACATTTCACATCACTGAATATTATCATTTATTTAACTGTGTGGCCAGGATGGCCATTTTGGTGTCATTTTGTGTGTATTTTTGCTGCTTAAATGCAACAAGCTGCGCTTTAGAGCCCTGCATTTCAGCCCGAGCCCAACAGCCCCAACTTATGTATGGCTTTGGGACAATTTTCACGTCATAGCTCAGACACGGGCCAGGCATCAGGCTTGCTTCCTCCTTATGTTTATATTTTAGACATCCATCAATTATTATGGAGATGACAAAGATTTGCTGCGCTGGTGGAAACAACACGAGACCGTGCTACCGCGACTGTCAAGAGTGGCTCGGACGGGGGTTTTTGGTCAGCAGCAGCGAGTGCTGGAAGAGTTCCATGTTAAAGAGCACGCAAAGCTTGCCGCAAAACGCCAGCAAGTAATTACCATGATGAATGCTCCAGGGGAAATAGAATATTCGCAGGGTTTCGGTTCATTTTTGTGAAGCGCTCCTGCTCAAGACCGAGACAGCAGAAAGCGTATCCTGTTTGCTTTCTAAAAAAGTACAACGTATGCTGATATTGTGAGTGCACACAAATAAAAGTAGACCCTTAACAGTCCCGAATGATGTATTTCTCTTACCTTTATGAGCAAAAATGACTGGTTGCTTCCACTGTTATAAGAAAAAAATGCAAGTGATCGTGCTGGCGACTCCAAAGCGCGCTTTAGCTTCTCTGCACAAACGATTGGATACGCTCCTAATAGCACACATTTATCTAGGATAACCATTTAAACTTACATTTTTTTTAAGCATTTTATATAGGCCTATAGATTTTATTTTAGTCAAGTGGTGATGATTTGAGAAGGCTAAATTGATCAAACATAGGCTATGATTAATTCACTGTCTGCCACTGGCCGCTTGGTTGTTACTTAAAAAAAAAATAATAAAACTTAACTAAAACCTAGACTTAAAATTTAACAAACAAAAACATTTTCCAAATGAATAGCTCGTCTAATGACAGAGTATTAAGTTCCCTCGATGGGAGAAAAATCCAAGTGAACATCAATCAATACTCAATATTAATTTAAACTGGTTTAAATATGACTGCTGCTTATTTCCTGTGCACTTCAATACTGGTCTGCGCTTGACTGTAGTCTGTCTGCTTATTGAGTTTATTTAACCCATCGCAATTTCGCAACATCGCAATGTCCCGCTCAGGACTGTCCCGAAACACGAGTTAAAGTCTTGTATCGCAGCGTGCAGCGGCTCTTGTAGCGCAGACAAGATGTGCCGATGTGAAGCCGTTTGAAGAGAAAGTCAAAGAGAGATGACGTATACAGCTGAATCACTCACGCTGTTTTCAAATGACTGATTTGATTATTTACTCATCAAACCTACATGCTATAGGCTATTGAATAAATGTGTGAATATCCATCATTTTAAAGTCAAAAGCTGCAGGAATGAATAAAACTATGTGATATAGCCTCTGCGCAATCCCGCACCGAAATTCAGGACCTGATTAAACACAATTCTATTATACAGAGTTTTGTGAAATAGATTTCAATGACTTTTCCAAAACTTTTCCAGGCCTGGAAATTGGTGTTTTAAAATTCCATGACTTTTCCAGGTTTTTCATGACCGTACGAACCCTGTATCCACCTTTTTCTTCAACGCGGAAGTAAGCCTATGGGTGAGACTTCCGGTTCATTAGCCGCTATAGGTAAATAACGAGGAGAATAACAACGTGCAGTAAACGGTAAAACGGTTTGCACTACAAACCAGTGTGTTCATAATTTCAGATAATACATTAAAATAATATGATAAGACACACCAACTTTCAATATCAAGCAGCAAAACGAACTGTTTTGCTCAGCTAAAAATAGCTGGACGGAGTGGACGCAGATGAAACCGGAAGCCAGACCCATATATTTTCCAAATGGCCGCGCCCATTTTTACGACAAGAAAAAGGTGGATAAAAAAACATTATTGTTACTTAAAATAAACATAAAATATAAAAATTTCTTATTTTCATTTACTTTAACCTGATGTACTTAAAAACTGAAATAAAAATTCATATAAAATATATAGGTATGTTTATTAAAAAACACGAATAAAAAAAATGACAAACTGCAGAATTACTAAACTTTTAAATAATATTACAATAAAAAGTGGAAATATAAACTAAGACGTTAAAAAACATTTTTGTTACTTAAAATAGTATAAACAAAATATAAACTTTTCTTATTTTCATTTACTTTAACCTGATGTACTAAACTGAATAAAAAATACACTAATAAAAATGACAAAAGCAAAATTACAAAAAAATTTTATAAAATTAAAATGGAAAATATAAACTATGACTATAAAAAAAAAAACATTTTTGTTTTTTGTAATATAATATGAAATAAAATACAAAAATTTCCAAGGCAACATTTTTTATTTTCATTTAGCTTGACTTGAACTTAACTAAAATCTGAAATAAAAATGACTAAAACAATAGACGTATTTTAAAAAACAGAAACTAATAAAAATCGCAAAAACAGCTAAATTACTAAAACTTAAAAAAAATAAAATAAAAAATGAAAATATAACAATAGTTACAAAATAAAAATAACTAAGAAAAGTATTTCAGTATTACTAAAGTTAAACCGGCATCTAGTTGTCAATGTTATCGCCCAGTATCCATATGGGTTGTATTGCGTTTGCGCTCACAATGATTTTTTTCCCACAGTACCGTGAGGAGCGTTTCCGTATGACGAGCGAGAGCACGAACCAGCGAGTTCTGTGGTGGTCTATCGCTCAGACCTTCATCCTCATCATCACCGGCATCTGGCAAATGAGACATCTCAAGAGCTTCTTTGAGGCCAAAAAGCTGGTGTGAAGATCAGACAGCATTACAAAGACAATAACTCAAGTAACATTCACTGCCGTTATGGTTGTCAAGCATGGAAATACTCAGTGCTTCATTTCAGTTTTTTCTTTTTAAATTCAGTTCGGTACAACTTTATCTCGAGCAGATAAATTCAGACACAATGAGCTTGGACAGGCAGAACATTAACAACCCTTAATTCTGCTGTATACCTGATACCCATTTATCATACATATCTAGCATCTAGAACGTTGTTTATTTTACTAAAATGTGTGATATGAAAATGTTATGCCTTTAAAGTGATGATCATTATGGGTGCATGGAAACTACTGTTGACTTCACGGTTGTATTACTGCTAAATGTGAAGAATCAAGCTAAAACTAATCATTTCAGCATTTCTCAACATTTTTAATATGTATATATTGAAGTATTTTGATGACTTTGACAAATTTGTGGCTTTGTTTTCAGATTCTATCTGTCTTGGGCTCTCAGATAGGTTTGATCTTCATGATTTTGAGGGAGAATGATTCAAGCTAAATGACTGTAGCTTGCATAGTAGCTGTTTAGACCAAAAAATAAATACATATTTTAGGGATTTTCTTACTTGGTGGTTTATAAAATATGATTTTTGTTGTTCTTAATCTATGTTCTGTTTCATGCTTTATTTATTTACTGCATTGGCCACATTTAAAATACAATTCCAGTAGTTACAATGGACAGGAATGTCTGTAATTTAATGAAAACTATAGGTTTACTGGGTTCTTCTTCAATTTCAAGGCTATATGTTGTTTATAGGATCTTTGGACATTTTTGTACTGCCTTCTTCTTACAAGTACCAATTTATAAAAAAATAAAAAAAAGCTGGTTCGCCTGATGCACAATGTCAAAATCCTCCATATGTGAACATTTGAAGGTAATTTATAGATTTATGCAGCTCTGTTTTCTCAAGTGTCATTCAAGCTTTGTAATAATCTGTTCATCAGTGTGCATGCAGATACCTAACTGTACACTCGGTACTCAGTCTTTACATTATGTTTGACACATGATTCATTAACACTGTTTTAGTTTCGGTGTCTATTTTAGTTGAGTTGTTTCTTTGAATTAAATGCGTTTTCAAATTTACAAACGTTCTTTGTCTTCATGAATGAGCAGCATAATGTACTTAACTTATGATAGAATAAAAAAAGCTGTATCTTTTATATACAAATACACAAACACTACCATTCTAAACTTTGAGGTCAGTAAGGGTTTAAAAAAAGATTAACAATACTTTTATTCACCAAGGATGAATTTACAATAAAGACATTTATAATGTAGCTTTTTTTTTTTACTGTTCTTACTGTACTTTTGATCAAATAAATGCAGACTTGGTGAGCATAAGAGTACTTTAGAAACAAAATCCTACCAATTATTTTGTATATCATTTTATATGTATATTTTATATTAATTTTTAAAAAAATGAAATACTAAAGTTGACCACTGCGTTTATACATGCCACACAAACCATTTTTTTCTATTGTTTTATTGCTCAACTCATCTAAATCAATTAAATATGTATGGACAACTATCTATTGTCAAGATACAAGATGTTATTTGACACACTGATTGAAAAAGGATGTTGATTTCGGTTTAAGCTTTTCACAACGAACCACAAACAGTAAACCTATTACTTTTAAACAATACTGTATTAATCCAAAAAATATATATAAAAAATTATGATGTGATTGCCTCTAAACAAGCTTCTAAGAATCAGGACAATCCCTCTCTTGCATAGTAAAAGGCCTCAGACCTTCAACCTCACAGAAAACGCCATGTAGCTGCTCATCTCTGCACTAATTTAATTGCATATTTCTATGTTCTGTACTGAAACCAGTGTGGCTGTCGATCAGTGCTAAATTCAACACCAGTGTTTAGAGTGATATGAAATACTACATGAATTACATGACGACAACACCACACAAACGTCAGTCCCGACAAATCTCACTGACACAGCTTTCAAAGCAACAAGTGGATACTAAAGCAATACTACAAATTAACTATTTATATAATTTACATTTATGATTTTGAACAAAACAATCCGCTGACACACTAGAAAATATACCTACACACTTCTAGGAACAAAAATAATACATCCTATCGTTTTAATTAGATGTTAAACATCTAATCTAACGGAAATGACAAATTACACCTCACATCTATGATTGGTAAAATGAAACGGAGCATGTGCTGACCCTGTATCTGTTCAAAATAATCACAAAACCAAGTATTTTACAGAGAGCTGGAGGACACTTCTGGAGATCTTTTGACAATAAAAACACCTTCAGGAAGTAAATCTAGTATTCCAGTTATTAAATAACACTTCTTTCTAGTTCTTTCACCAGAGAAGACCAGGTCAGCAGCATTAGTTAAGACATATTAAAGGCCCTTGACTGGTGAATGGTGAGCCCAGTCATTGGGTTCAAGCCCAAGAGGTCCCACATTTAGTTCAGTAACCTTTTTCCCCCCCATCATTCATTGCTCTGTGACCGTGAGCCGGTCCATTTTTTTGGCTGCTTCCTCACATACGACCTTTGGCTTTCTCTCCGGACTGGGGCTCGGGGTGTTGGGGTATTCTCGGGTGCCGAAAATAGTGCTGCCGACACGTATGTTGGTGGAGCCGACCTCAATCTAATTGGAGAAACAACTCAAATGTATAACAAATTGAACAAAATCGACTTTGTCATAAATTGAACATGGATATCAAGTACAGTTGAAGAGTATTTTGAAATGAAGCAACACTTACCGCATGTTCAAAATCAGTAGACATGCCCATACTGAGCTCAACCTGCTCTACTGGGATCTTCAGACTTTCACAAACTTCCTCACGACGTTTCAACAGCATCTAGACACAACATAACAGGGTTCCCACACCTTGGTTAACTTCAAATTCAAGGACCTTTCAAGGACTTTCCAGGTCCAATACCCTCAAATTCAAGGACTTAATGTGGAGACACATTTCAAGTGTGAGCAAAGTTACATCGTGTTACCTTGTAAGATACATTGTTACAGATTTCATGTGTAACACATAGCATTTTATTTTTTTTTGGCCATATGACAGAGATCTGATATTCTATTTGTCGTATTTCTGTTTTGCATAAACCTGAAGAATATTCGGGACATCCTATACTGTATTCTAAAATGATCTGATATTAACTTTTGCATGGATTTTATTGAAAAGAGCCTAGGCTCATGTAAACAGAAGTTTTAAGATAAATGAATAAGGCATGCTTTTAAGTTTTTCTTGCCTCATGGGTTTACATTATTAACAAGCAAAGCAATTCAACATTAATATCACGGTGTGTCTGTGAAACGGTGAGGTACCATCGTAGTAGTTTTATGCACGCGTGAACGTCATGGCAAAGTACCTCATGCAGGAAACACTTAACGTAACGCGTAAATGCGCGTAACTAACGTAACTCAAGCAAGCTAGTATGCATAGGCCACGAAATGTTGGCGAAATAACACATTAGCGGACCAGAGGGAATAATATGGAGTTTTTTCCAGAAAACTTCTTGCACAAAATAAATTCAAGCACTTTCAAGGACTTGTATTTATGTATGTTTTTTTTTCAGATTCACAAACTTTCAAAGATTTCAAGGACCCGTGGGAACCCTGATAATAATTTAGCTTTTTTCTTTTCACATACTATGTTGTAACATCCTTTTAGCATGTTGCTAGCTTGTATAAACGTTTCTACAAAATTATTATGCAGCAAAACTATTGTCAGCATTGATAATAATAAGAAAAGTTTCTTGAGCACCAAATCAGTATATTAGAATGATTTCTGAAGGATAATGTGACACTGAAGACTGGAGTAATGATATATATATAATGATATATTTTACAATATTACTATTTTTTTTATCATATAAATGCATCCTTGATGAGCATAAGAGACTTCTTTCAGAAAAAAAAAAAAAATCTGACCCCAAATTTTGTAAATATCTTCAAATATATGAGGCTCTAAATATATGTGTTATCAGCTGATCTAACGTACCTGGAAATCAGGGTTGGGGCCATCGCTGAGGTCGTAACCATAACGGCCAATTGTCATGAGCCCGGCGAAGTCAAGAGCAGAACACTGAGACACAATGTGTTTTACCACGTTTACAGTCTCTTCGGGAGGCAGGCCATGTTTACCTGATAAAACACAGCCAAGAGAGATGATCATGCTGAGGTCTCAGGAAAACAGTCATCTGATACACTGAGAAAAGATTTCATAACGCTTAACTGTTTTTGTTAGACGTGCCCACTGTGACATTCACATCCAGTCCAAAAGTAAATCAAACAGCATCTGAACCTTTGATATGGGCTTTTTCAACCAAATTGCATAACACATCTGCATCCCACTATGATGCTTCCCCACTGTGTATCAATACATTTTACAAACATCACAAATACAACACACCACATGTGATTTCATAACAGTATAAACATGCTGTAGTGCATTTAAGGACATTTCAGTGGTACATTTCTATTGACTAGTGTCTCAGTAAGAGTTAAAATACGTTTTTGTTCATTTTGATAACATGCATGAAACGAAGGAAAAGTTGTTTGTGTTGACATGTTGACAAAAAAACTATGAAAAATAGGCTTGAGAAATAACAAAATATAAAATTTGCCACTCCAAATCACACAAAATTCTTGATTTTAATTCTTATAAAATAGCTAAATACTGTAGGTAGATTTTTATAATAGAGTTTGTAAATTTTTTTGCGCTAATGTTTACAGGAGACATACAATTATTCAGGCGCAGAACACTCACTTTCCTCTCCGCTGGTGTTGATCTGCAACATAATCTTTAACTGCTGTGTGTTGGCAGCTCTCATTTTTTGCCACGAGCCGTTGACTTTTTCAGCCAGTTTCATAGAGTCTATCGTCTCTACCATATACAGGTTTGGGACACCTATGAAGTAGTTAAATGAATGTGGGTTAATTCAGAACAAAAAAAGAAATAAGAAATAAATAATAAAAGAAAGAGAAATTAACCAAGTCTTAAACCTATTAATGTCTGACATCACTAGGTAGTTACTGTAAATCTATTTTTAAGTGAAACTAAATGTGATTTGCTTTGCTCACCCAGGAGTTTGTTGACATTATTCTTTTGCAGATGACCAATGAAATGCCATTTTATTTCAGGACATGATGACTCTACCTACAAAGACGTTTTACATAGATTAAGACGACTGATCAAAACCAACTAAACAAATGCATTCCAATTTGTCTGACTTCATACCAGGGGATGGGAAGCTTTCTCAACAAGTTCATTTACCTGTGGAAAAAGGGTGATATATAATACAAGATATTTCATATGAAAAACGTGACCAAGCTTCAAAACATGCATTCTTAATTATTTACTCACATAATTCTCTCCAAAGTTTCGTTGTCCATGTTTGTAAGCCTCCACCACCATCTCTGGTGGTTTAGTCTTACTAACCGCAACCAGTCGAGGGGCAATACATGGTAACGTCTGGAAGAGAAAAGTAAAATACTGTCACTTGCTTACAACAGAGTGTTTAAAGGGGTCATATGATGCTTTTTTAAAGATCATTATTTTGTGTACTTGGTGTAACAGAATATGTTGACATGCTTTAATGTTCAAAAAACACATTATTTTTCAAATACTGTACATTATTGTAGATCCTCTATGCCCCGCCTCTCTCAAACGCTTCGTTTTCAACAAAGTCCCTCCTTCCGACAAGTGCAGTCTGCTCTGATTGGCCAGCTGAAAGACATTTAAAGACAGAGCTGATTGGCCAGCTCTGTCTCGTTCATAAAATGCATTGCTGTTCTGTTGTAAGTAATCTTAAAGATTCCTAAATGCATCTACTTCTGGAAGGCCAAATAAAGTGCTTTTGCTTTCGCCTAGAAACACACAGCGTCTCCCTGACATGCTGCTTCAACACTGCGGTTACTGAAACCACGCCTTCTTTCTTTGCGTGCACATTTGGGCGGCATTATGCAAATATTTCCACATAGTGAGGTAGATATGTGGGGGCGTGTTAGAACGAGCCGTTTTAGGGGGGCGTGGCAGAGTCTTAACTTTGATAAAGAATATCTCTTTGGTTTTGAGACTTTAGTCTTTGCAACTTCAGGGATCTTATCTATGCACAATCAGCTTGTAACACTCCAAAGAGAAAGGAAAACTTGAAATCGCATCATATGACCCCTTTAAGAGCAGCGTTGGAAAGAAACTTTTTCTTATTACAATATTTGCCCCGATATACAACCCCATATTTAGCTAGTTAATTATTGCTAGTTAATATACAATGTATACGGATTATCCAACATACAGACAATAACGCAAAAAATAACAGATTAGTCAAATATGGTATGTACATTATAATAACTCTCTTCAATTGCTCTTCATATTCAATTGCTCTTACTTTAACCATCAACCTCCATCCAACTTAAAATCTTCATGTGGCAATGCATTTGCTACTTTTGTATACTGTGAAAAGTATCATTTAAGGACTTAATATAATGTCATAAAGTGCATGTAATTGACGCGTGTCGTGCAGATTTCACTTGCTGGAGCGTGACTTGCTGAAAATCAGAAAATTCAAGCAAAATGAATGAATTCACACAATATCCTTATCCTTGAGTAGAAGTTGAACGGTATTCAAATGTAATTCCATCATTCTGGATACCTTGCAACACTTTTATGAATACATTGTGTGTGCCACAAAAAGTGTAAGTTATAATTAACAAGCTGTCACTCATCCCTTGTTACTATATGGAGCTCGCGTGTGTAAAGGTTGAACAGATTACATAACGCTGCCAGAACAACACGGTGAGCATGAGTGGAGAGTTTGTTTTTTTAAAACATTTCAAAAGCATATTGTTGTTTCGTATCATACTCGAAAGAAAGCCGTGAAAAACTGACCTTCGGGCGTCGGGAAACTGCTTGATTCACCCGGTCCACCACCGCCTGCAATTTCTTCCCAACCTCCTCAGACATCACTACTCTCCACATATCCTCAGCGCGAGCACATACACTAGCTCGCGTGACGTCACGGGCAAATCCGGTCAACTTTCCGACAAAATAAAAGTCCTGCCTCATTTAAAGAAGAGTGTACTGACGCTTTGTAAATAAAAATGCCAAAGTATACTGGCAGCATTTAAAAAACTATCAAATTAAATGTTATTGCAGACTATTTTTATACAGCACTTATTTTCATGGACCAAGACATTTTTTATTTAACTTTATTTCTATCATATCCTGTCCTAAAATGGGAAAACAGAAAAACAATCTATTAATGCTAGACTAGACAAGGAATATTTTCATTAGAAGGAAAATACTGTACATTTAAGTTTTTCAGGCAAATATCTCAGATTAACAAAATTTGACTATTTGAACTAGTCAAGCTTATTGAATTGCTTCCAATGAATATTAACCAAAAGTGAATTTACAAAAATACTTTGGGTTAATCACACTGTAGTCCATTTATTCACAAAAATGTATGTATTGTGTACACAAATTTCTAGACGTAGGAAAATACATAAAAACAAGGAAGGAGTTTACAAAACAATATTGTTCAACAAAATCAAGGATTTCTGCTTTAATATTTAGTCTTCGTTGTAAACAGACATGAGAAATCAATTTTGATATTTGCTGGATACAAAAACAAAACAAAACAGACAAGCAGGAAAAGAAAGTGGGCATCATCCTCATACTCGTTCCAGAGCCTCCAACATGATTATACTGTTTCCTCTGATCACCTGAAGAGACACAAAAACAAAAGAGCATTCATCATTGCACAGAATAAATCACATAAGTCTCTCAAAATAAATGTAGATCTAAGAAATCAGCAAAGCGTGGTGGAAATGTGAGAAGTGAGTATCTGTCTATTTGTTGATCTTTGTGTGATATATTGAATCTCCATTATGATTTAAATATAACAATTGAACTAATATCTGAACATAGTGTCTTTCTATATGATACAAGTGCCAGCTAGTCATGTTTCACCATGAGTTTTGTAATATGTTTGATACTAGATTGTGGTATTAAGTACTGACCACCATCCCAATATTGTTCATTTGTCCCCCAGGAGCCATTTCTATCGAGTCATCAACGACCAGATTCATGAAGGGATCAAATCCACGCAAGATGCCCTGAACATGACGGCCACCATTGAGCTTCACTGAAAGTGTGCATGAAAACAATGACTTTACAAAACAAACGCACAAAGAAGCCATTTGAAGTGACAGTGATTCGGAACAGAGATATAATGGAGTTTAATGCATGCTGTAGAACAGAGCTGTCCAAACTCGGTCCTGGAGGGCCGGTGTCCTGCAGAGTTTAGCTCCAACCCTAATCAAACACACCTGAAGCAACTAATCAAGCTCTTACTAGGCATGCTAGAAACTTCCTGGCAGGTGCGTTGAGGCAAACTCTGCAGGACACCGGCCCTCCAGGACCGAGTTTGGAGACCCCTGCTGTAGAACATTCATTTAGATAAGTGTATTATTCATTTTATTCATCTGCACATACAAGATCACAATCAAATACTGTTGAAATAAACTATTTTTTAGGACAGAAAATATTATTACGGAGGCTTTCAGATTTCCTGCATAATATTTTGTGAGAAAATCACACATAATACTCACGTGAAAGCTTCTTGTCCATAAACCTAAAAGGAAAGAACAAAACCGATATTTTATTAAAAACACAATACTAATCTGACCAATACTATACAGATACTGCAGCTAACATTCAAACCGAAATCTTATGAACGTGTAATAAAATTGCAATCAGTAGCAGGTGGGTTTTGTGCGTTAAATGAGAATATAATGTAGTTGTGAAATAACTGCAGACAAACCGGCTAACCTAGCGCGGAAGAACGCGATGCTCAAATGTAACTTATCGCATTTCTACGATCAAAGGGCTTGAAATACTTACTTTTTCAGCTCGGGCGGGTGTGCTTTGCTCATGTTTATTTCGTTAGATCAAATAGTTTTGTAATATAAAAACGTTTGAAACACGTTTCAAACAATGTATGAACAGTGGCGGAAGTGCTGTACTAGGCACTAGGTCGCGGGATTTTCTGTATCAGTCACCGCGTGCAATATCGCCCCCTACTTTAGCGGAGGATGAACTTCAATAACATTAAAGGGGTCATATGATGCTTTTTTAAAAAGATCATTATTTGGTGTATTTGGTGTAACAGAATATGTTGACATGCTTTAATGTTTTTCAAATACTGTACATTATTGTAAGTCCTCTATGCCCCGCCTCTCTCAAACACTTCGTTTTCTACAAAGTCCCTCCTTTGACAAGCGCAGTCTGCTCTGATTGGCCAGCTGACCCAGTGCATTGTGATTGGCCGAACACCGCAAGCACTCGTCGGAAATGTAACGCCCCTTACCATAATCGCGAGCTTCATCTTTTAAAATAAATGTAAAGACAGAGCCCGAAAGGGGAACAGAGTCACGTGACAGACACAGTGATGAAGCTGGTATGTGT